GAAATCCTTGATAACTTCCATCTTTTCTCTGTTTATCACCATGCTTCTTATTGGTCTAGTTGAGGGTTTTTGTTTTCTCTGTGTTGACATGTAATCCATCTGAAGGCTGTAGTCTTTGATCTTTATCAGTACATGCTTCAAGTCCTCCTGTTTTATTAGTGCTATGAGATAACTAGGGAGTTTGAGGAACAATTACAGGAAAAGTATTATAATGCCACAGGAAAACTTGGAAAACCATTTAGTAATTCTTTGATCATACTTAGAAATAACTATGCCCTTTTGTATTATGAAGCTAAGTGGCCCAGTCATGACTCAAATCAAGAATTTTATTCACATTATTCTGTTAATTTCTTTCAGATTCATAAAATTTCCCTTCTTATTTTGATTCAGAGTTCCTCCATTTCAGTTTATTGGGATTAAAGCTAGCTCCAGTGTCAAAATTGAAAGATTATTCCTTATAAAAAATTAGTGTATCTCTATGACTCTAGAACGTCGCTGTACAATATGGTTGTCACGTTTGGCTGTTGAACATTTGAAATGTGGCTAGTCTGAATTGAAAGTTTAAAGACAATTGACAAAAGGGATGTACAATATCTTTATGTTGATTATGTGTTGAAATGACAATATTTTGATATATTGAGTTAAATAAAATATTCATAAAATCAATTTCACCTTTTTTACTTTTTTAAATGTAGCTACTAGAAAATTGAAAATTACATCTTTGTTTCACATTTGTGGCTCAGATTATATTTCTATTGCACAGCGCTGCTCTAGAAGGTCAGGAAATGAGTTCATTAGAAACTGTCTGAAGATGCATGCAGTAAACAAACTTTCTTATATATTTAACCCCACTCCTGGATTTCCGGCCTTTTAGAAGTGTTATGTACAGTTAGTGTTACATGTATTTACCTAGCTGTTCTGTGGAGTTGCTAATGAAGATAAATGTTATTTGAGTATAGCATCTCTTTCTCAGGATCCTTTTCCTGGCCTCAGGAAAAGAAAAACCTGTACAAAGCTTGGTGAGGGAACCCGTGGAGGTTTTAGTTCTCCCTTTGGCAGTAATGATCAGATCAGAGCAGCAGCTTCACAGTAAGGGGAAGGAAGACCCCACTGATTCCAGGGACTTGAAGCATGTTTTCCAGCTGTGCTGAAACCTTTGGGTTTGTTCTTTTGCAGTATCTTTCTCCCTAGTCCTCTACTGGGTTTCCTTCCCAACTGAAGACAAATTGTCTTAACTTTTGTACTAAGTACT